ATAATCTAATGCTTCACTTCATGTGATAGCCTTTTGTTAACACTTTTCCTGCTGCAATGTCTGTCATGTTGTCAGCTCCAGCAACAGCTGCACCTCTTTCATTCCCCTCCCCAAAGTATTTTCACCTTTTTGACACAGCCATGAGTGATGGAGAGCTTAGTAATCAGTTTTGCCCCATTAATTCTGCTTCTAGCCCACAGCTTTATGCACTTTCTTTGGCATAAAGAATCATGCCTTTGTTTGGCATGGTTCTTTTCAATGGCATGAGGCTTTCACTGGATCTTTCTAACAAAAGAAAAGTGGCCAACATTCCTGGAGAATGCTGGGGTTACTTTCTCCTTTGGTTTTGAGTTTAAATGCAACCTCATTAACAAAGGTGCCTGTTAATAAATAGTCCCTGAAGATGAAGCTTTTATAACAAAGGCCCAAATCATCTCTCTGGTGATGAAGCACTCTGGAGGAGACATACATGAAGATTTCCTCACTAAGGTCACATAAAGGTAGAAGATTTTTCTCCTATGGAAGACACCACTAGGCTGGTCCTCAAACCTGACAGAGTCCTGAAGATCACAGCTCCCTGGACAACACAAATCAAGAACTCCCTCACTGCAGCTGCCCACGGGATCCCAAGTAAAGATACACTCATTATCTAATTAAATTGTACAGGGCTGGAAGTAGGATGGTGTGCATTTCCCACACTCTCTGCTGTCATGCTTACCCCTTCCTTGGTCCATCCAGTTCTCAGTCCTTCCATCAGCACCTGGTTCGCACTAGGCAGTGTTGCTGCAGTCATTAAGCCTCCTTTCTGGTAGATAGGGATGCTCCATGTGTACCTACAAATTCAGATTTAGAGGGAACAGGCTACTCCTGGGGCTGGTTTTGTATGTGATTTTAAAAACAATCATGTCTTCTTAAAATTACAGCCATGTTTCTTCTTGGTATCTGCCATCAGAGACAGGGAGTGGCTCAAACTGTCACCAGAGAGTGAAATAACTAAAAATGAAAGGAGAAGCTACATAAATATTTCAAGCATGCTCTATTTTAACCTCCACTCTTACTTCCCTCACCCCTCAGGAAATTACCTCGAGTCCCACCCAGATATGAAATAGATCTGAAAAATATAAGCAAGAATTTGTGCAAAGTTAAATACACGTAATGTGAAAAATGCCAGCTGAAGAGCATGCATGGAAGGCTAGATCATCACATGATACAAACCAGCACTGCTCAGATGATAGTAATCTCAGTTGATGTTCTGGCCTATTTCAATTGCGTTTAAGTTGGTATTGTAACAATCAGTGTCTTCCTATGTACAGGTTGCAAGGGTATAAGCAAAGAATTAGCCTGAGAAATGTAGCACTAAAACCACAGCCTTTTATCTTTTAAACTAAAAGTTACTGCTTAGGTATATGTAGGAAGCTGTTATAGTTGATAGAGCCAGCCACTAAAGGGAGACAAACATACATCAAGTCACTGTATTGAAGAATGTTAACATAATTCTTCTCTGGTGGTTTAGATCATTTGGATTCCTTGGAGCAGTGTTCAGATAAGCAATTTTCTTTTTCCCAACTTATGTATTTGTGATTGTACTCAGATCAGATGGAAGATTAAATAAAGAATGACACCAAGGTATTCAGAATGACAGACAAATTTTAACAAAAGAAGTGTCATACTGGTTCAGACCATAGGTCCATCTAGCCCAGGAACCTGTATCTAATAGTGGCAGAGTGGATGCTATGGGAAAACATATGTGAGCAGGAAGAGTGAATTGTAGGCCTCTTTGGGCAAAAGGAAAACTGATCCATCCCCTGTCCCTCTCCCCTAAAGTTTCCAGCACTCAGAGATCCCAAAGGTTCGAATGTTAAGGTTGCAACTCTATCATGTTTAATACCCACTGATGGACCTGGCCTGTAGGAATTTATCCATCCTATTTGGAACCTGGTTATTTGAATTGTTCACTATAGTTGTGTCTCTCTGTGAGAAGGTGCTGTTGATCATATTCACTTCTCCGGTGCCAAGGTCTAATTTCCAACCTCTCCTCCAGTCTTGCCTGCCACAACTTGTAACTATAGAAAAAGGGAGAGTAAATATTATGCAGAAGCCAGTGGAATGCCTTTAACCCAGAGTGGTTGTTTTGCAGGGCTCCTCCTTCCCTTTCCTCTCAAGGCATCAATGGCCTATCTCAGTCTGTAATTTAGTTACCAATTTGTTTCCCGCTTTTAGATCTTTTAATCCAGTTTCTAACGCTCCTTCAGTCCTTAATGAAATCCACTTTAATCAACACTTTCATCTAACAAAATGACTACAAAATTAATCAATTGATCAATTATTTGGATCTTGTCATCCATGGAGGCCCACAATTCACTCTTCCATCAGTTCGGTTCAGCTACACCGTCAGCCTGCTTAGAGCATCCATTACCTCACACCTTCTCCTGAGAAATCAGGGCAACTTGACAAGGTCCCTTAATCTACTGAGTATCATCTCCCGAAGTTCAGCACCCAGTCAATTAATACTCAAAGATCCACTAATTCATGAATTCATAGAGATAAGCAGCATGATCTGAGGGAAATCAATTACTAACAAGTCTGTCAATTTATGAATGCACATGGAAAGGAACAGGATCCAGTATCAAAAGTTCATTAAATTCATGAACTTTGACAGAAAGGCAACCACTCAGATGCCCTCTGCTCCAGGTTTGGAAGTAGCCAGTCCTGGCCACTCTTCAGTTAAGATACTTAATAATAAACAAAGCCAGAAGAAAAATACTGTGGCTCACCATGCATGCCAGTGCACCGCTCCGTGCAGCCTCTCTGCCTCGTCCTCTCAGTGCTACCTGGCTACTCCAGGTTTGTCTCTGCACCTTTTGCAATGCACCTCGGCTTCATGCTTCCTCGAGGCTCTTCTCCATATCTCCACATGGATCTTTGCAGCCCTCTCCTACTTGAAGCTGCAGGTTCCCCTCTTCGGGGGCCTGAGAACACAGGCCCATATTTTCTTTTTCCCAGAAGGTCTCTGGCCTAATAGAGTCCCTTTGTGGGAGCACGTGACTCCAGGGACTCTGTGTCAAGATTCTCCATCCAGTGTTTCTCCTCAATGACCCCAGCTCAGCCTCCTTGCCTCAACTCCCACCTGCCACGTCCTGCCTGAGAATTAACCTGCATGAGTGAACTCCCTGCAAGTGAAACAGGTAAGTGTCAATGTAGCAGGGCCCCAGCCAAGCCTCATACTCACCAGGATGATGACTGATGATGTGGTCCTCAGGCAGTGGATCCCTGGCCAGGCTCGTGGAGAAGCAGTGTGCCTACAAGCCAACAGTGTGCTCTGCTCTTCTGCTGGACAGGCAGCCAGCAAGCTGCAGGCTTCCCTTAGCCTCCACACCCAGGCCGGGGTGAGAGCCAGAACCCTGGCTCCAAGTGGACACGGGCCACAGCTCAAGAAGAGGGCAGGCGGCCGGTGCAGGAAGCACCACCTAGGACTCAGAAGCAACAGATGCAGGGGCTGATGAGCTCCTGTGAGGCTCTCAACACCTGTCAGCAGCAGTGGGACACGTGGGAGCAAGCAGGTGGCCAGGTTGGCCCAGACCAAACCAGAATTCCTCACATAAGGTGGCACCAACCCCAGGAAAGGGGGAACACCAACATAGGCAAAGGCCTATGCTGCGTTCCTCCACCAGAGCTGAAGACCTGAAGTAGTGAACCAGGATCACCCTGGCTCTCTGAATGGGAACCTGACTGCCGCTGCAGGAGGTCTGGTACCTTTCTGTTCACCACAGGAGGTCAGGTACCTTTAGGGGCTGCACCAGGGTTTGTGATACCCCTGGCCCCACATTACCTAAAGGGGTTGTCCCAGAACAGGCTAGCCCATTCAGATTGTGCCCTTATAAAGGACAAGCCCTAAGGAGCCCCGACTGCCTGGAGAAAGGTGGTCAAGATACCCTGCTGAGCTGAGGAAGAACCTGAAGCAGGCACAGACATGGTTATTTAAGTTATATTAGTTTATTCATTTCTTTATGCAGGCCGGACACTGCTGACTGCAGAACTGCAGCAAAGCAGCTGAGATGTGCTAACCCCAGGCAATGTGGTTTCCTTCTGTTGCAGACTCTTCTACCTGAACGAGGCCAGACACCCAGTACAGCTAGGCGTCTATTCCAAGCACTGATGAGAACACCCAAATAGGAAGAGGTGGGGTGGAGGGGAAGTGGAGCCGTACAGAAGACTCTTGGATGTTGTGACCCACACTGGTCTGAGCCAACCCTCTCTAATCAGATACTACTGTTCTGATACCTTTTTCAGTTACACCAAGTCATGGCAGGCGAAGATATGAAAATAGGAGAATGAGACACCCACTGAGCATATGGCACGTGCGCCCCACCTTAGTATGGCCGCTTGGCCTGGGTCCCTCTACAGTTGGACTGTCCTGTTACATTCTCCTTCAGGTTTTCAGTTTGGCTTGATGAGGTTTTCCTTCTTGATGGAATCTTTCTTTTTTACTTTAATTGTATTTTGAAGACCTCCCTTTTTCTCCTCTTCACCAGCTAGAAAACTTAATTGGAAAAGCCAAAGGCACGGACATAAAAAGATCTAAGCACGGGGGACTTCAGTTTTGTTGTCACTATAAAAATATCTTCCTAAAGACCGGTTAACTACCCACCACCGAAAATTCCCTTGTTAGTCTATGATAAGCCTGTAATTAATTTAGTAATATCCAGCAAGCAGTTGACCATAACCAGCAGCATAAAAATCGTCTCAACCTGTCCCTTCAATCTGGTAGAAGAATTTTAACTAGGAGTTGCCTATTGGCCTCTTTTAAAACATCCAAATGGGATTTGGAAAAGATTGTGTAACTGAAATGAATCATTTCCATACTTAAATTCCATTAGCAAACTGACCTGATGATAAATTTGGAGATACAAGTTAAACTTGCAATATCATCTGTTGAATTTTCAAATTAGCCCACAGAGCTTGTCAGATCAGGAATAGTGTGAAATGATATTACGCATACAGTGAATCAAATGAAACTTTCATGTACTTTATTTTAGGGGAGAAAATGGTATTTTTCTAAGAGTTAAATATGTAGATTTTGATCTTGTCAGTTGAACTTCCAGCAATTGGCCAAACAGCAAGGAAAATATAATTTTGTGTCCTTCAACATTAGCTTCATCTGGTCATATTCTCAGACTCTTCCATAGTCCTCAGGCCTTAATTCTTGAGCACTCTTTGCAGTCAGATCAGATGAAACATTTAAACTGCCAATTACGGGCTCTCCTCCATGTCAAAAAGTTAATTTAATCCAGAATGCCATACACAACAACTAAAAGTGAAATACAAAAAAAACCACGTAAAAGCTGTTTTTCCTTACTGACACTAAGGTATACATCAATAAACGAGTAGAAGAAATGACCACTCCTATCTGGCTCCAACCAAATAGGAAAAGAGAGTAATATTTTTGAAAACTCCTCAGTATGTCCTATTTTCAAAAGTGTCCAGGAATTTAGGAAGCTTTTGAAAATTTTACTTGAAGTCATTTAAACAATTTAGTTTGAAATCAGGATTTCTCCCTGCTGTCTCTTCCCCATTCCCAACTCAGACTGCCTGCAACCTTTCCACCTGTGCTTATATGCTATCAGACATTCAGCTTCAAAATATATTGCTATTATGACCACAGTAGGTAAGCAAAAAACAGGTTCTATCTTGGTGCTAAAATCTTATTTATACTGGGAAAGCTATTACCCCAAAGGGATTATATGGATTTCACAGTTTAAGATCAGAGGGACCATTAGAACATCTAGTCCTGTATATCACAGGTTATTAAATTTTACTCAGATACCTCTATACTAAGCCTAATGACTTTAGTTGGACCAAAACATTTCCGTTGTCAGGAGGCTAAACTGTTATGTTCCACAAGCAGAGGGAAGACTGAATTGCCATAATGCCCGAGGCCTTAGCAGTTGTAGGGAATTGATTAGGTAAGGCATGCTCAGATGATCCTAGTAGGCGATTCACAGCTCAAGCTCCAAGTGAAAAACAAACCAAGGTCTTTGCTGATCTTATGCAAAAGAAAATTATTCTCAAATTCCAAACCTAGCAGTCAGTTTGACCATGAATATTCAAAAAGCTACACCAGCCAGGATTCTCTGACTCATCTCAGACTCCAGACCAACACATCTAACATCCTGTCTGTTATAATCACAGAATCAAAGAAAATTAGGGTTGGAAGGGACCTCAGGAGGTCATCTCATCTGACCCCCTGCTCAAAGCAGGACCAGTTCCAACTAGATCGTCCCAGCCAAGGCTTTGTCTAGCTGGGTCTCAAAAACCTCCAAGGATGGAGACTCCACAGCCTCTCCGGGTAGCTTGTTCCAGTGCTTTAGTACCTTCCTGGTGAGTTTTTTTCCAAATATCCAACCTAAATTTCCCTTGCTGCAACTTGAAACCATTGCTCCTTGTTCTGTCACCTGTCAGTACTGAGAACAGTCCAGCTCCATCCTCTTTATAACCAAGGTAGTTGAAGACTTATTAAATCCCCTTTCAGTCTTCTCTTCTCCAGACTACATAAGCCCAGTTCCCTGAGCCTCTCCTCAGAAGTCATGGGGTCCCCAGCCCCCTCACCATTTTTGTTACCCTCCACTAGACTCTAATTTGTCTACATTCTTTCTGTAGTGGACGGCCCAAAACTGGACACAGTACTTCAGATGTGGCCTTACCAGTGCTGAATAACGGGGAAGAATCACTTCTGTCGATCTGCTGGCAACGCTCCTATTAATGCAGCCCAGTATGTTGTTAGATTTCTTTGCAACAAGGGCACACTGTTGGTTCACATTCATCTTATTGTCCACTGTAGCCCCCAGGACCTTTTCTGCAGAGCTACTGCTTAGCCAGTCAGTCCCCAGTCTGTACTAGTGCATGGGATTGTTGCCTCTCTCTTTTGAGTCAGAGAAAGGTGGGGAAAAATACGCAGAGTACAATGCATAGCTAGCTGTGCATCAAAGAAAATACTTCTGTTCCCTCCACCCCACATGCCCAGCTCAAGAGTTAAGCAATAGATTGTCATCACGTAGGCAACTGGGTTCTCTCAACAGCCTACAGATGGGGATTCTTAGGCGACAAAAAAGGTTGCATTTGTCCTGGGAAAGAACATTTTCTCCCAGGACAAAGTACAGTCGTTCAGACATCCATGTCCACTGTCCCGGGACAAACCCTAGAAAGGTTTCTGGGATAAGTGCTAACAGCTTGTCCTGAGACATCATGAAGTACATCTGAATGATTGTATTAGGACTGCATCATTGAATCAGTGACAGAAAAGCAATAGTACGTTCAGCTGCTCACTAAACCCTGATTAGAAGGGCGATGTGTGTACATGATAATCCTGGGACTTTTCTGCTCTGGGACAAACACAGGCGAAAGTTGTCATGGGACAAATGCAATGAATGTTCCTAGCCTTAGATTCTAAAGCCTAAAGGGATCACTACCATCATTCAATGTAACTGGATGACTGTGGTTAGGCATCTAAGTGTCCTGATTTTTCAAAATGCTGATTTCACTGGGAGGTCCTGGGCACATAACACTTCTGAAAATCAAAGCATTTAGTCAAGGTGCCTAAATAAGGATTTTGAAGTCTTAACTTTAGGCACCAACTTTTCAAAATCTTGGCCTAAAACTTGTAAAGAATTTGCAGTTCACAAAGTCAGAGAAAGGAATAAATTCATATGGGAGAAAGAAGGGGAGCAGCAGAGAACCAAAGGAAGAATTCCATTGCAGCAGATTTAAATTACACATTGTTTGGGGGGGAAGCATGTTTTCATGCATGTTTGTACAACAATTAGCAAAATAAACCCCCTTCCTGACTGAGGCCTTTTGTGATAAGTACTAGTGACAAAAAAATAAATTATCTGACTGGGTGTGTCTACAAGTGCAATTGAGTGACTGAATAAACTCCAGCACAATTTGAACTAGAGTAAACTAATTTGGATGTTACCATCTGCACATGTGTTTAAGTGCAGTAATTTACTCTGCTGTCAGATAGTACTTGTGTGTGATGGTGCAGTAAATTAGTCTATGTCAGCGTAATTGCCACACACGTGTAGATGGTGATAGTTTAGTGCACAGCTAATAAGGCCACTGTGCAATAAAGTGCTCATGTAGATGCACCCGTTAAATCCTAAATTAAATCTGCACTATTAATTGCAATCAGAAACTGGCCAATGGAATACCCGGTATAATCTCTCCCAGTTCAGTTCATTTAGGTTTATTTCCCTGTAATACAAGTTTCATAGATTCACAGATGTTAGGGCCGGAAGGGACCTCAATAGATCATCGAGTCCGACCCCCTGCATAGGCAGGAAAGAGAGCTGGGTCTAGATGACCCCAGCTAGATGGTTATCTAACCTCCTCTTGAAGACCCCTGGTTTCTATTCAACTGATTCAAGAACAGCACAGCTTTGGACCAGCCTCTCAAAATTTAATAGTATGCAACAAAAGAAAAGATACCTGTTTTTCCCTGTTCTTCTTCAGCTGCAATTAGGGATTTCTACTCAGTACCGTTGTTTTCTTCCTGGAGCGTTTACCCTAAATGTAAGACCCTAAGGACTTAATTCTAACCTCATTTACAATAATATAACTCCAGTAAAGTGACTGGATGTACTGTTGAAAAAGGACAGAAATGGCCTTGGGATTTTATAAGCACATCTTTACAGACAGTGAAGACAAAATATACTAAAAAGGAACCATGTCTTATATGTGAACCCATAAAGATATGATGCTCTACAAATACTTATGAAGTCTTTAGTTTAGGCAAGTAAGAACAGCAATTTTCATCATGCAGAGAAGATAGAATACAGACTAGAAAAATACTAAGAATGCATTAAGAAGAAAACAAGCACACACTGAAATCCATTACAGTTCACAAATCATATACAGGCTTGATGTCAGGAAAAGAACTATGTAAAGCCTGCATTTTCTTGCTCAGATCTTTTCCTTGTATGTACCAGTATTTGTAACTTTCTGACAAAATGGTCTGTGTTTTCAAAAAGGAGCTCCGCTTTACATCTTTTTAGGAACACAGAACATAACGCTGGAAGGGACCTCCTCAATCAATGCTCTGTCCTCTTCTGCAAGCCATCCAATTGGATAAACTTCATAAATTTATCAAACTCTATCTTAAAACTAATCAATTTTTTTCCCCCACCACTGGGGTGACTGAATAAGTCAACCCACTAATAGGGGTGTCACTAATAGGTTGCTTCAGAACTCACTCCTCTGATGGGTAAAAATCATTTTCTGATTTCCAGCCTAATTTTATTCATGGTCATTTAATGCCATTTTGTTCTTGAGTCATCATTTAATTTTCATCTGCCACTGCTCTTTTGCCCTGATGTTTATCCTTCACTCTAATGAGAAGGGGCTGGGGTGGCCCAGGTGCTAAGGTGCATGGCTGACAGCCTAGAGCGTTGAAAGTTTGGGACCACAGCAAAAGTGCTCGTGGCACAGCCCTGCTAGATGTTAACAAATCTGCAAATTCTACTAAGTGCCTTGTTGCAAGAACACAAAAAGGAAAGGAAAGTATTCCAATGAGAGAATTTCTCACCTCTATCCTTGGAAAAGTCTTTGAAAAAATTATTAAGCATCATATTTGTGTGAATCCAGCAGGAAAAATAATGCAGCAGAGCCTCAGCATGGACTCATAGCAGGTAGATTATGCCTGACTAATCTGGTTTCTTTTTACGATCAAGTCACAAAACACTTAGACGTAGGAGTAGGGGGGGATGTCATTTACTTGGATTTTATGAAGGCCTTCAATATGGTATCTCATCCCATTCTCATAAATAAAGTAAGAGGCTGTGACTTATATGATTGCACAGTCCGGTAGGTGGCAAACTGGTTTGGGGGTTGCACCCAGAGGGTGGTGGTGGACGGGTTGGTGTCGACCTGGAAGGATGTGGGTAGTGGGATCCCACAGGGCTCAGTCCTTGGACCTGTATGCCTCAATGTCTTCATCAGTGACTTGGATGTGAGCATGAAGTGTACTCTATCCAAGTTTGCAGATGATACTAAATTGTGGGGTGAAGTGAACACACTGGAGGGTAGAACAATTGCAGGCAGACCTGGACAGGTTGGAAAAGTGGGCAGAACACAATAGGATGCAGTTCAACAAAGACAAATGCAGAGTGCTGCACCTAGGGTGTAAAAATATCCAGACAAAATCATCAGCAAAGCTAACCACGCTTTACCATGCATCAGCAGATGCATGACTAATAGAACCAAGGAGGTGATACTTCCTCTCTATGAGGCATTGGTCGGACTGCAGTTGGAGTACTGCGTCCAGTTTTGGGTGCCGTACTTTAAGAAGGATGTGGATAACCTTGAGAGGGTCCAAAGAAGGGCCACTTGAATGGTTAAGGGTTTGCAGGCCAAGCCCTATGAGGGGAGACTAAGGGACCTGGATCTCTTCAGCCTCTGCAAGAAAAGGCTGAAAAGTGATCTCATGGCCGCCTACAAATTTATTAGGGGGGCGCAGCAAGGAACCAGAGATGCTCTGTTCACCAGGGCACCTCTTAGGGTAACAAGGAACAATGGTCACAAACTGACAGAGAATAGATTTAAGCTGCACATCAAGAACTTCTTCACAGTAAAGGTGGCCAGAATTTGGAACAGGCTTCCAGGGGAGGGGGGGCTCTCCCCTAACTTGGGGGTGTTTAAGAGAAGGCTGGATAGGCATCTGGCTGGGGTCATCTGACCCCAGCATTCTTTCCTGCCGAGGCAGGGGGTCAGACGTGATGTTCTGTTGAGGTCCCTTCCAACCCTAGTGTCACAGGGCACTATAGTGCCTGCTTCTTTAAGAGCAGAGACTGCCTAGGGAGAGTACCCTAGAAGCCAGGCACGATCCCCCACAGATGTAGGTTATTATGGCAGCAGGCTAACAAGGGAATTAGCCTGCACCTGCACCTGGTCAGTTGACCGGAGGAAGGCAGGGCCCTGGGTACATATAAACCCCAGGGCTGATGCCAGCCGGAGTTAGTTCTCTAGCAGCAGCCAGGGGAAGGAGCCTCCAGGGAAGAATTGCCCAGAGACACTGGTGGCCACCTGATATGCTGCCTATAGGCCTAATGGGGCTCCAGGAGCTCACCAGGTACCCTGGGCTACGAGGCACTTAAGGCTTGGGTGGAAGTTTGACACTTTTAAAGGGATAGAGCGCATCCTGAACTAGTTGTATTTTGTTATAGCCCAGGGGCTCATATTTTGGTTGCTTATAAACCGGTGGACCAGGCTGAGGCTACTGGGGGAGGAGGCCTCACTAGGGACCCACTACAGTGTGGAGACCCTGGTGCCAGGGGAGCGCAGAGACGACAGGGCTGCGGAGAGCCCGGCGATCACAGGAGGCCGAGCTAGACTAGGGCCTCAGAGGGACAACATTTGAATGCCATCTGTCAGGCTTGGGGTGTGGTAAAAGGATGATTTTGGAGCTACGTATCTAGCCCATAAAGCTGAGGGTGTCCCGTGAGGCATCCATTTTGAGCGAGTTCAGCGGGGGTCCATCAGGACCGTGTCAAAACATAGACTCGAGGGCAGCCTCCCTATTTATTATAATTACCAGCAAGACGTGGCAGACGAGGAAAAGGGTGCCTGTTAGGCAAGACTGGCATGGTCACGGAGCCCTATGGATGTCACGGCCATCCCTGGGGACCCCATCCCATGACACCTAGCATCTCTGAATCTATGAATCGATATCACCTCTGTCTTGATTTGGCTAGTCTGAAAGATCCAAACTCTTTTAAGTCTCCTCTTATCTGATAGGCTCTCTGTTCCCTTGATCACATGGCAGGTCATTTCTGCAGCTGTTCTAAGTTCCAGATACCCCAGGTTCTAGATGTTCAATTTCTTCTTTCTTAAGCATAAGTGACTAGAACTATACACTTTATTCTATATGAGATCTTACTTCAGAATGATACACTATGTTCTTGGTAAAACTTCAGACACAATATGACTAGCAGTGAGGTAGATTTATTGTGGCTGAAACATCACTAACAATTCTTAATGGGAAAAAATTATAGAACCTTTACTTTGTACTTGTTGGTGTCTGGTGGCGTAATAACCATAATGTTTATCTGTAAGCAGATAAAAATTAGAGCACATGGAACTTAAGAAATCTGACCATGCTAAGTCTATGGCATAAAAGAATATAGATGCTAATGGTGAAATCCTCTGAGGTCAATGGCTATAACACCTATTGACTTCATTGCCAGAATATCAGTCCTCTGCTTTATTCAGTGGACCACTGCTGTAACTATGATGCATCTCAGTTGAGTCATGTGGTTATGTGGGAACCGGACAATAACTGGGATGTAGAAATATTGCCACATTGTGCTACAGTCCATGTGGGTTTGCAGTCCATATTTTGCCTTGTAAACTGACTACATGTTATACAGAGTAACTAAGAAACCAACATGAATCCCCACGATGTCATTTTGACAGTCATTTTTAAGCACAGAGTGTCAAGGGGTAAAAGAGAGAGTATTATTTGACTTACATCTGGTAACCTAAGTGAGTTATTCTACATGTACTGGAGTTTAATTTTTTTTCTTGCACAGAAACCCAACAAAGCAAGAAAGCTGCAAAAATAAATGAATAATAAAAAAATGAAATTAATTGGAAGAGCAAACATGGCACTTAGAACCTTGAGGTCTCAGAACTATTAGCAAGTTGAACATCCTTAATCTGTATTTCTACTGACTCACGTGTTCTTCAAAAAGATACAGAATTACAGAAATGTACTTCATTTTTAAAATAGAGCTCTTAAATTTCAAGATAAGAGACAGATGCCTTTGCTACTGTACTTCTAAGACCATCCCTCAGAGACTCACATAATTTTTTCTACTGAGAAGTGTCAGTGCTTAGATCCGGAAAAATATTAATCTGCTGCTCTTGTAAATGCGTTTCCTTCCTTTTGGCTGCAATCATAACCTCATCTCTCAGATACTGAGACCAATGTTACATGCTGGGCTACCAGAGAAATATTTCACGTTGACTATCGTTATTTCCTTAGAGTGATTATATAATTATCTTGATTACGGTAATTGTAACAACTTCCAACTCACTCATTTTAAAAGATAAACAAAGATTTTAAAGTTTAAAGGTAAGTCTTTTGAGTGTAACATTCATTTCCATCGACATAACTTAATCTTCTTCACCATATCCTACTCCGTAAAGGCTTCTGAAAGCCTTCCAATGGTATACTAAATAACATAACTCATTTGACTTTAGACTGGGATTTTCAAAAGAGCCTAAAGGAATTAGGCACCCAACTCCCACTGAGATTAAAGCCCACGTCTCATGGCTTTAATACTGTCCATGTCTAATTAGATTTTTAATCTGCAAATCCCTTGTTTTATATCTGAACTAGCCAATACTAAGTGTAGTCAAAATATGCAATTCTGTACATGGGCAAATAATTCCTTCCTGATCCCTTAATACAATTATCATATCCCCAAAGTATGCTATTTGAGAACCCTTTCTTTTTCATCTTGCAGAAGAGATGGGACACAACACAATTTGTTATTAAATGGCAATAAATACACAGTCCTTTTTATTTGAGTAGATGGCTAGTTGCGATGGTCATTTCTACAGGAAGACAAAGATTTTGCATGTCTTAAATGCATTATCCTTGAGTATCAATGAGTTCTGTTTGTTCTTGAGTTATACCATTGATAAAAAAGGAATTGATTTTTTGCTGACATCCTTCCTGCCTATTCCACTCATTCCACCAAGTGTTTAACTCCTCAAAATTCTCTTTAATTTTGCTATCAAAAATAAACAATCTAAATAAGCAAGAGTACTTCCTATTCTGAGTCATTAATACATTTATCACATAACACAGAACTTCAGGATAGCTAATATTGTTCCACAAAAAATATATGTATTATGATTGTTTTCCATCATATTATTCAGGTTTTAGTCAACATCGCTGCTTTGACCCCTATTCTATAGTCACTCAATTACCTTTAAAAAATTCTAATCCAAATTCTGACACTGACTGCCTCATCACTTCAAGGAAGTTACTTTGTCTTTTTCTCTGAGTTTTCCCAACTCAGTGTAATACTTAACAATCACAAAAAGCTCTGGTTAGGATTATTTAACCAGTTTCCATAACATGTTACAGCTGTAGAGCACTAAATAATGACTAGTTCCAAGGGAGGTGGTGCTTTCCCCTACCTTGGAGGTGTTCAAGAAGAGATTAGACAGGCACCTAGCTGGGATTATTTAACCCCAGTGCTCTTTCCTGCATAGAGCAGGGAGTCGAACGCGATGATCTACAAGGTCCCTTTGACCCTAGAAATCTATGACTATTGTGTCTAACAATGGATCTCATCAAAAACACTGTAAAACTAAGTAAATTATGTCAAATGGTTAGTTTCATAGATTTCATAGACATCAGGGCTGGAAGGGACCTCGGAAGATCATCGAGTCCAGCCCCCCGCCCAAAGGGCAGGAAGTCAGCTGGGGTCATAGGATCCCAGCAAGATAAGCATCCAGTTTCATCTTGAAGGTGTTCAATGAAGGCGCTTGAACCACCTCCGGTGGCAGGCTGTTCCAGACCTTGGGGGCTCGGACAGTAAAGAAATTCTTCCTTATGTCCAGCCTGAAACGATGTTGAAGTAGTTTGTGACCATTCGACCTCGTCATCCCTTGGGGCGCTCTGGTGAACAAACATTCCCCCAGATGCTGGTGGTCACCCCTGATAAACTTGTAGGTGGCCATCAGATCACCCCTGAGCCTGTGCTTTTTCAGGCTAAAGAGCCCCAGGGCTCTCAGCCTGTCATCGTAGGGTCTGCTTCCCTGACCTCTGATCATGCGTGTGGCTCTTCTCTGGACTCTCTCAAGTCCAGAGAAGTATCATAGTTGATAGTATGGTATTAATTTTAAAAAATTCTAACCAGGAAGAGTGCTCATAAAACAACCATAAATTATCCTAGAACTAAGATGAAGTCCATTTCTCTATAATTTCTATAATTCTCCATAATTTCTTCATCTTTCTTTCTCCAAGGTACACTATTACTATTCCTTCCCTCCGCCCAAAAAACCCCAAAACCTGTTCACACATCTTTAAAATCAAGGGCAGATTAAGAAGACCTTGTTTACTTACATTTCCCAAACATCAAATAGATTAAAACAGTGTATTTACCACAAACAGATTAGACCGGTGTAGGTAGGATAACAAACTAATAAGCATAAACTTTCACTTTATGGACTTCTTTGTCATCACATTCTCTTTGCTTGTTGTAATAATAGAAGGTATTGTCCCTTCTCTGAAGTTTCTTCACAAATCCTGTTTCTGGCCAACGATCCACCTGAGAATGCAATAAAAATATTCGTCCATCTACTGAACATAAGAATATCTGTTTAGTGCATTTAACAGAAGAACATGTTTGCATGAACTGCATTTGGCAAATATTTGGTTTAAAAATAATGAGCGCATCCTTTGCATATAGGTTAAAGAACATAAAACATCAGAAAACAGGTTATGGCCAAAGTACTACATGGTATATAACAACAAGATTCCCTATTAGAAGAGTTTCTAGAAAAGGATCCAAAAATGCCATAGCAAAAACAGATGCTATAGCACTTAAGTCATTTAAAATGAGAATGCACAAATGTGCTAGCAACTATGCTATAGGAAATAACCATTCACCGGTAGTGAAGGACATTAGAAATAACCTAAAATTACTTTTTCATCTCTAATATCTAATATCTACAATTCCCCTTGATTAATGAAGGGATGCTAGCATTTTCTTCTTTGTCGTACTGAAGAGAATCAGTCCTTCAGTAGTCTGAATAGCTGAAAGATATCAGTTGTTCTGAAAGAATGATGCTTATGTAATGGGTTCTTCAACACTTATCAAACCATGGAAAAGAGACATATCACAAGTTTCATTGGAGCTGTTAAAGGAATAAACATCAGAGCTTTTAAACAAACGAGCCATAAATAAAGTCATGGCAATTAGTGTCAGTGCAATCTTGCAAGGCACTAACACACTTAGATCCCATTGATTTCAGCTCAGTACTTCACAAGAAACTGATTAAGCTATAAAAGTTCAAACATTCCATGCTTCAGGTCAAAGAGTTTTGGGGAACTTGTATGATCTTAGCTAAGCATCTGTAACATGGACACCAGGGGTATTTCTTGTTATCTATAAGCCCATAATGTTCATTCCTTCTGCTCCATGTCTGGCAGTCACTGGGGAGAGACACTAGAGATTTTAATGAGAATATCTTAGAAACAGCAGCTTTATAATTTAACTACGTATTCATGGACGTTTTTACATGTGATCCGACGGTGGAGGTGGGCGCTTTAATTAAAGCAGCTCCGAGAGCCACTCTAATTAAAGAGCCTGCAACATCTCATGTATCAGTGTCCTCGCACTTCAAATGAGCTTTAGTTAAAGCGCCCTACCACCATTTTGAAGCTCGGGCCCAGATACATGAGATGCGGAGGCTGCCAGAAGCACAATATTAGCACCCTCTGGCAGACTCAATTAATCAAGTCTGGTTCGACGCCCTGTAATTACAGCATGTTGGAGCAGCCTTCCCCACATGTCTAATGTCCAGTTGAAGTAAGTGCTTAGGTAATTTTTCTAAAGGTAAACCCCATTGTATTCACTCTATGTGCACACTTGCATTTTGTGGTCTCTATAATATAGCATAAGGGAGCCACACTAAAATGTGAACAGTCAGAAAAAGAACTGACATTGGTTCCAAGGAAATCTGATGGAAATTGATTTTGGAAAGGGGAGCAACCCTGCGGAGCCCTGCTGGCTGTGATTCTGCACTACAAATCCCAGAGGCATTAAGAAGCAGGAAGAGGAAGTGAAGAGCAACTTGGTACAGTTCTGCTGCTGTGATTCTGGACTGCAAATCCCAGTGAACTTGGGGGAGCAGGAAAAGGAAATGACCACACAGTTCCAGGCTAGCTATGTGCCAGGCAGCTGAAGTTGAATGGAAAGAGACAGAGCCAAGAATGACTGGCACAAGAGAGAAGCCTTGGCACAGCATGATGAACTACAGACTGATTGCATGTGACCCCCGACTTAAGATACCTGTATAGAGTGACTCTGGACTAAAGACTGGTTCTTGGGGACACCTCTGGATGTGGGGAAAGGAACCTGATGTGCTTAACATATGTATTCCAGTGGTACTGACTACTACGTGTTACTTGCCCTTTAAGTGTATGCTGTTATACACTGAATGGCTCTTTACCTCTATTTGTCCCTCACCTTTGGCCCACTGGCTTGTGACCCTAATCCCTAGGACTTTCTATATAAAACTGAGAAAACCCCTTGTTGGTTATGGTAATTGTGCCTGACACTACAGGCGTTTGCTACAGTAGTTTATGCCTGTATCAGATCTTTCTGTTTTGTTTTATTAGTGATCCTGTCATGCTAATAAAAGTATCTACCTAGACTTTTATACAGATATTGAGGCATATATACTATGAGAAACTATGAGATAGGTGATTAATGACGTTATTCATAGCCTAGCACCTGTAGGTTGTTAATCTTAACACCCAACTAGGGTTGCCAGAATCTGGAATGGGTATGCAAGGGAGATGGTGCTCTCCCCTACCTTGGGGCTCTTCAAGAGGAGACTGGACAAGCACCTAGCTGGGTCGTCTGACCCCAGTTCTCTTTCCTTCCCAGGGCAGAGGTCAAACTCAATGACCTACTGAGGTCCCTTTTGATCCTAACATGTATGAATCTATGAAACTAGAATAGTCATCTTACATCTGAGGGTTATTCATTGGCTTATTTCAAGGCTGTCCAACTGGTGGCCTGCAGGCTGCATGTGGCCCCCAAAGGGTTACAGTGCAGCCCCCAGGCTCCCATCCAGCCACCTCTTCCCCTCATTGAACTGGCTGCCACAGAAGACAGGGGATCCAGGTTCCACTTCCTGCCCCTGCCCTAGGGGGCAAGGCAATGCAATATGGCACAGCCTGCACTACCAGGGGAACCTGCAGCCCAGTGGTGCAGCAGGGAAACTCACAGATATAGACCTAAAAGAGAGTCAAGGCACCAGGCAGGCAATTCA